AACGAGCATATCTTAGGGGAGACGATTTTTTTAGATCAATGCAAAAAAGTCTTTTACACATTATAATAATACAAAAGTCATTATTATTTCTATAAAATATTCGCGATATAAAAAAAAAACTACGTTCTTATCTCAGATACACCGCAGTGCCATTATTATTTAGTTAGCTTTGTTATGTTAGGATTTGAGAATTAATTAGTTCTATCTTGCCTGCGGCGATATAAGTATTTCCATATAAAGTGACTAGCAAACATTTACTCCGGAATTATTAGATTGGTTATTTTGTCTGTATCTGCTTAGGGGAGATCAATAATAAAAACCTGTAGCGGGAATACATTAAAATTGAAGAAACTGAGTATACCGTAGATTTAAGCAGCCAGTTTAACAAAATTTTCTAAATTCACAATATAGGTAAGACTTCGTTTTTCCATAATATTTGCTAAGACACGAAATCCGCCCAGATATTTTTTCATTAGCGATGGGTGAAACAAGAAAACTAATACATCAATTGACACTGCATATTTTACTACTTGGTTAATCAACTTATCATTTCTAAAATAAAATAACGAAAAGTTACTTAAAGAATTTCTTTTCTTATAATGATTATTTACGTAAATATTTTGTAAAACAAAAACAATATTAATGTATTATTTATTTCTAAGAAATTAAGTATAATAAATATTTCAGTTCAAGAAGTATCGCTATGATTCGCTTAAAATTAATCAACCACTGATCGATACAAATATAACGACGAAACATCAAAAATAACCAGATATTGTAGCAAAATCACTTTAATTATTAGAAGTATCCTACATCGTGTTTTCTAGTTGATTATTATTGAAATCGAGTGAAAAGTTTGACATTAGAACTAAAGTTCAAAATTTATTCTGGTTGTCATATCCTGGATAGTGTATTTTAAAGTTGATTTTAATTCAATAAATGCAAAATCATATATAATTTTACATATTATCTAGGTTTTAAAGAAGTTCAATATCAAACTATACTATGACGAAGAATCTAAAGCAGGATGAATCTTTAAAACTGAATTTTTACTAAGACAGCTGTCTTAGTTTCCATCATGAAAAAATGTTACTTTCCTTAATTATTATTTAAAATCATTATTCTTTGTTTTACCATTGTTTTGGAAAAACGCTCTGACCTGTGAAGAACCACCAAGAACACGGCGGAACTTTTTTACCAGGGTAAAATTATACAATAAAACACAAAGGTTGTACAGTAACTTACCCCATTTCCAGGAGTTATTACCATACATGTATTATTTTAATTACACTTTTTATATAGTCTTTGTTTTATAAAATATCTTCGTAATTAAAAGATCTTTTATATGTTTTGGTACGTTGTAAAGTATATACGTCTCACTGAATACATAATAAAATAGCAGCTTAACTAAAATAGCAGCTTAACTAATAACAGCTTAGTGTTTCGTATGGCTTTTTACTGGAAAAGAGGCATTCCATCATAGTCCTCACGGGTGACAACGCATGTGCATTTTGATTCTTTATTGAGGATAGATGTGGATGTCTATGGGTCACAGCAACCACTTACCATCAGGTGGGCTGTGTGCTCGTTTGTCACCTTATTCTATAAAAAAAGTACATTGTCCCGTTTAAATGATGATCTAACTTTATGGATTCAAATTACTAGTATAACTGACTTGTTTTGTTAAATTTCGCAACGCTTTAGTAAGCATGAGTAATTTTTTTATATATACTATTAAAAAAATTATAAGTATGATAACAGGAAAACATACACTTTTGCTGCAAGCATTGGAGTATATAAAAAGAAACCCACATAAAACACAATAATTGGACTTCTTTGTCTCATATTAGTCATCACGTGCCATGAGATACGTAAAGTTGAAGTGATACATTTTCAATAACAGTTGCATTATACTATAGATTTTTTTTAATCTTGAGCTTATAAACTAACAAACGTTAGCTTCCCCACAGCAACATTGATACTGAAATTGTTGATTGACATGCTGATTTGCCTCTTCCTTGACTGTAACCATCGTGAGAAACCTGCAGTTGTATGAAATTCAAAAATATTTAACGAATATGTTATGGAGTTCGCAAACATGCATAATTGCATAAAGACAGTATGGCGAATTCTTAATTGTGTCAACACTCTCACAGAATAGAGAGGAGGTCGTGCTTAGCAAAAGGTCGGAGATGTGCTGTTACTTTGGTATCTAAAGCTCTACCTACTAATTAAAAGAAAATGGATACATAATTTATCATGTACTAAGAACTACGATCATAAATATGTCATATTTGTGACAAGGGTGCTAATAATTGAACACTTATCACAATACTTTTGTTTTGTTGTAATTTATGCCTGGCAAAATTATATAATATCGTAAACTTGGTCTTTAGGTGAAGTTTTAAATGATATTAAGTAGCGCATTCTAAAAAAATGTAATGATGATGCTAATGTAGTTAATTCATTGTTTTGTTACTAATTATATGTAACTCGGCTTCCGAAACCAGTTGCTGTATACAGCCTTACGCTAATTATTTGTTTATTTTGGATTTGTGGTATTACGTATCATTTAGTAGCGGTGTAAGAATATCCACTACCCGATATCGTCCCGTGGGTGTCGTAAAAGACGACAGAGGGAAAATGAAGCAGGATATAGGCAGCAGTAGCTTCCTGATGAAAAACTCAAAATTATAACAAAACTGCGGTTACCTATGTGTGCCAAGATAGATAGATAATTCATTATCTATCTCTCTCTATCAACACAAAATAAGGAAGAAAAAAATCTAAAATGGTAGTAGAATGGACAGTTTTCCGCTAAAAGCGATATCTTCCAGACAAACTTTGGATTGACAGGATTGGTAAGCGTGGCGACTATGGTAAAATACCCCTATGAAGTAATTTTTGGGGAGGTCTTTATTCAGTTGTAGACTTTGGTGGATGTATGGATAATGAATGGAGGATATCCATGAGATATTTAAGGTAGTGTTGTTATATTTTATTGTGATGAAACTGTCATTTGATAATGCTAATCTGCTAAGATCTGATTGGTGACAACTTTATCTATTGCTATTTTTAAAAAATACTTGTTAATTTTTGTAATGGGATGTTAAGAAAGGCTTTAAGAAATGAACAACTTAAAATATGTTGACAGCTACTTTAGGACCTTTGTAATTTTAGAAGCTTAGAACTTTCTTTAATTGATTGTTTCGGAAGTGCGCGGAGTTTCCTTTAAAAAGAAAGGAAATAAACTTTTTCAATTAGGACTGTAAGCGTTAAGGAAAATCGGTTTACCTTGCTTCTTGTACAGTAACAATAGATAAATCAATAAAAAATTTGCACACAGTAACAGAAAAATTGTGTTAATTTATTTTCTCTTCTCTCTTTATCTGAGTCTATTTATCTTGATTACAGCCTATCTAAACACCACTGCTAAACATAGACCTTCCCCAAGGATTTCGACAAAGCAACCTGCATCCATCAACTACCTGCTTACCAGGTCATCACTCCATTTAGTGGGGGGTCGCCCTAAACCTCGTCTACCAGTACGACGCTGCCACTCGAGTACCTTTTTTCCCCATTGGTTATCGGTTTTTCGAGCTATATTACCACTTCAGCTTATTTAAATCCGTATGGTTATGTCAGTCACTCTGGATTTACTACGGATATCCTCATTTCTAAGTTCGCAGAAAAACTCTGAGCATAGCTCTGGCCTCAGCTCGATGAGCGACCTCGAGCTTCCTCATACGGCAGTGAAGGACCACGTCTCAGATCCATGTCAACTCTGGCAACACGCACTTGTTGTACAATCTCGTTTTTCAGTTTTGAAGTTTACCCGATGAGAAGATGTGTTGTAATTTACCGAAATCGGACTTACCTAGTCGGACTAATATATAGTTAATAATTAATAGTCCGACTAGGTAAGTCGGACTATTCGTCCCAGGTAATCTTACTCGTCAACAATTTCGAGCCAACAAATACCGACATAAGTGTGACATGGACGTTACACATAATCTTTGTTTTGTCCACATTCTAAGAACTATCCGTTGGGAGACATTACTGAGGTCATTGAGCATAGTGCTTGGTTCCTCCAGCGATTTAGCCATAACCTAAACTTTATCATCGCAAATCGAAGGTGAGTGATATACACGCTATTGATGTTAATACTTTATCCTTTCCAGTCCAGTAGCTTGAAAATGTATTCAAATGCAGCGGTGAAGAGTTTCCAGGATATAACATCACCCTGTCTTACACCTCTCTGCAGTTGGATGGGTTTCGTACTCTTGTTGTGTACTCGGATAGTCAATGCCCTACCTTCGATATACCGGTAGTCGACTTGGCACCGCTGTAAGGACTGTATCACCACCCTAATTCCCACGGAATCAAAGACTTTCTCATAGTGCACATAGGCAAGGCAAAGTGGGTGCTGAGCCCTTTATCTTCAATGAATTGTGGGAGATGTTATCTGTGAGCATTTCCACTTCTTCTGGAAACTACTTACTTAGTAGGGGAAGGAGGGGGGAAACCGGATAGAGGGTGAAACCAGATAGTTACTATTTCATTATTCCGCGTATAGCTGTCTCGTTCTAGCTAGTGGAGAAATACGCGCGAACGCTTACTCAGTGCTGTTGCAAATGGCGGCGACGGTAACATAACAACGCGTGCGTCTATAAGCGAAAATTGAAAACAAAGGTACGTTATCTAATATTTAGATTTTTTAAAGTGTTATCATTAAGTGCAGCTGTGTGCAACCATAAGTAGTAGTTTAATTTAAGAAGTAATGCATATTTAACCTTCTAAACCGGTGTTTGTTGTTGCTATAAGTGTAACCATAACCTGTTAGTTATTACAATTCCAAACATGGTACCTATGGGGTACAAGCGGACGGGGTGATTTCGACTATCCGGTTTTACCTCGATTGATTTGTATGCAGATATTTTGGGCGTTTGTTCTCTTTTTAATTACTTTTTTTTTACTTTTTACAGAATGTAAGCGTCAGCATGCCACGAACATATGTGAGAAAGTCAAATAGGCTTCAGTGGTCGGAGTCAGACATGCTTTTAGCCATAAATTCGGTGATGGAAGGTAGAATGGGATATCTTTTAGCGTCAAACACATACAATGTACCCAAAAGTTCGATAGAATATCGTGTAAAGAAGATCAAAAATGGAAAATCCAAATATGAAGTGTTTCAAAAGTGCCCTGCTACTGAAAAGTGCGTCTTCACTGATGAGCTGGAAGGTATGTTAGTCGAACATATTAAAACTATGGAATCTCGTTTATTTGGATTGACGAAAACAGACCTGCGACGTTTGGCATTCCAATTAGCTGAAAGAAATAATTTAAACCATCCTTTTAATAAAGAAACTGGACTCGCTGGCTTAGATTAGGTTAGTGGATTTCTAAAACGACATTCTGAATTATCGCTAAGATCACCTGAAGCAACATCAGCTGCAAGAGCAATGGGATTTAATAGGTCTGTAGTAACGTCATTTTTTAATCTTTTAGAAACGCTTTATGTTAAGCACGCTCTCAATTCCACGCGAATTTATAACATGGACGAGACTGGATTGACCTCTGTACCAAAAAAAAATAGGAAAAATTGTGTCGGTGAAAGGTAAAAAACAAGTTGGTGCACTAGCTTCGGCTGAACGGGGCCAGTTGGTTACGGCAGTGCTTTGCTTTTCTGCAGCTGGACATTATGTTCCACCGCTTATGATTTTTCTTCGAGCGCGAATGAAGAGTGAACTTTTGGATGGTGCACCACCAGGTACAGTAGCTGTATGCCATCCAAGTGGATGGATGCAACAACATATTTTCGCCGAATGGATGCGTCACTTTATCGGATATGTTAAACCTTGATGTTGGTTTTATGGGGCCGTTGAGCACATTTTACTCGCAAGAAGTCCAGTTATGGCTTCGAAATCATCCGGGGCGTGTTGTCACCCAATTTCAAATGTCATCTTTGTTTGGAACTGCTTATAATCGTGCCGCTACCATGCCAAATGCAGTGTCTGCTTTCTCAAAAACCGGAATTTGCCCACTGAATCCCAATATTTTTACAGATGTTGATTTTGCACCATCACAGACTACTGAAATATTATTTGTACCAACAACAAATGAAAGTTCTCAGGATGCATTGCCTCGAGTAAAACTTCCGGCCCCGCAAGCAGGAACATCTATAGAAGGACAAACGTTTTCAAATTCTATTAGTCTTGTATCACCGAAAGATATCATGCCAATTCCTCATTTTAAAAAGAACATGTGTCCATCGTTACGTCGAAGAAAAACCGCAATTTTGACTGATTCGCCGTATAAGAATGAACTGGCTAAAAAAGCTACGCCGTCAGTAAGTAAAATAAAATTTAAAAGCAAAGGTAAGGGTATCGGGAAAAAAGCGAATAAAGAAAACTGTGAAGAGGATTCGAAGTGTTTGTTTTGTGGTGAAAAGTATAGTCAAACTAAGTCCACAGATGAATGGTACCAATGCACCGCTTGTCTTAAATGGGCTCATGAAAGTTGCATTGGTTGTTCTGAGCAAGAGTTATTATTTTTTGTATGCAAAAACTGCGAATAATTAAAATATTTTGTTTTATTGCTAGTATCTGTATTCACCCCTTTAATATAAAATGCCTATCCGGTTTGACCCATAGGTGTGGGGTGAATTCGGATTTGTAATTTTTGATTAAAACTGTTCTAGTTTGTAATTTTTAAGATTGATCTCAAATATTTTTGTACCAAATTTATGCCTAAGATATACTTTAACCTTTGTGATATTGATTACCTCAAGAAATAATATAATGATTTATTTATTGGGTCTTTATCTAAACTATCCGGTGTCCCCCCACCTTCCCGTAGTTTCCCAGAAGAATGTTTTGTTTGCGCAGTCGTGTTTCTTCGGTTAAAGACTGTTCCTTAACGTTCCATTCTGGATTTGCTTAGTCCCAAAATGGATATGTGCTTTTTAAGCAGCAATGTCATGTGACCAAAACTAGAATAAAAACTAAAAAATAAAACTGTTGATAATTAAAATTAAATACAATAAACGAACACAATCATTAATAAGCGAACCTTAAGCTGTAAATTTTTAATTAATGAACTCGAGTTCATTGCATTTCCAATACTAAATGACTGTATATTCAATAGCACTGAATCCATTTCCAAAGTAAATCTGATTATTGCCAATGAGCTATTCAAACTGTAATCAATATAATTATTATGAGAATTTTTAAACATATGTTGAAATACAATATTTTTTTAATTTTGAGGGAACTGAACTGAACTACTGTAATATTATTGTTATATAAAGTTTAACAAATTATTCGATTTAATTTATCTCTCAGCTGCATGTGATTAATCAGCCATCTTTAAGTTTCCTTTTACGACATATATCATGAAACATAAATAGAACTTGAAGGATTTTTAAGTATCTTCTGTTTTTTTATTATTTTCAATTTTTTTTTACGTGGTAGTGCCATGCTGCAGATATATTAGTAGTAGGTATAGTTGTAGCACGAATGGGTCGGCTAAAAAAGACAACATTGTAGTTGTCACTTTAAGCTTGTGATATTCCTTAGTCCATTTAAAAGAAACAAACATCAATTTTGTCAATAAGTAAAATCCGAATTCAAAAGCTAAATTTAATAAAATAATCAAATCAAAATCAGCTTCTAAATTCTGGGCTTTGATCCTTCTACGAGTATACACTATGTTATTTTAAATTTTGAAGCACATTTGAAATTTTGAAGCGTTATGTAATAATAACTATTTTTTTTTATTTCATCGAAGTTAGAATCTTAGTTTTTATCGTTACTCTAAATTAGTCGCAGTTTTAAATTGCTTCGTTTAATTTTCTCATTTTTGTCAGAAGCTATAGCGGGCGCTCTCAAAAGTTTCATCGTTATTGCATGAATGGTATAGGAATATTGAACAAACAAGGTAACATTAACTTTATATAGGTATAAATTAACGACGTTCTCAGCTTTTCTGGACACATTATAAGACAGCCTGCATAAAAAAGTGACAAAATATAAGACATATTTGAGTACTATTTATATACTGATCATAAAGAAGAGAGTCATAAAGATGTCGCGCTTTCACACTATTATTATTTCACATTGTTAACCTCCGTAAAGGAATACTTTCAGGAAATATATTTTTCAGGACATATAAGAGACATTTCGCGAAATTTAAATCCAAGCTGTAAGAATTTATTTCTATTCTTTCTTTTATTTAAAAAGATGCATGAAATAAAATGGAGAACTTAATATATAATTCAAGTATGATAAATACAAACCTACATTTTATTTCCGTACTTATATTTTACGTAACTTTATAAAGGTAATAAAAATTTTAAAAATGGACATAGATATAAGTGCAAGTTGATCTGGCCTCTCTGTTCACTACTTGAAATTAGTGATGTAATGACTACAATAGATGGATAGATGACCTGGTAATTTTTGTACAGCATAGGAAAGTGCCCATCCAAAATATCTATCTTTTAAACTGTGTATCGGGAATCTTTTGAATCGTGTATTTAGGTATTTTTGTTAATTTTTGCTTCGCAAATCTTAAGAACAAATGAAATATCGAGGTTTGCAATTGAGATAATCGCTTGTGAAAATTCGACGAACGAAATAATCTCGAAACACGAACAAGAAATGAACTATTCCTGACTACTTACTTTAAAAAAATATATATATTTTTGTACTTTATATATATATATATAAAGTACAAAAATATTAAATTATAGTTTTAACTCTTGGAGGAATATATTACCTTTTTCTGTAAGTGCCAATCTCAACTGTAAGTAGTGTTCATTGACAAATAGCTGATGTATTTATGCCAGAAATGTTCGTAGCTTTCTAGCTACAAATACCCCAAAGGTAGAGCATTCATTATCTTCATCCTTTAGCTGTCGCTGGAAATGATGCTGCATAAAACTATATGCTTCATCCATTCGTTTTTTGTTTGTGGATTATTTTGTCTTCTTCTATTCAATATTGATCTTGCTCTTGAACCCTGTTGTTCATTTGAATTTGATTCCTGTTGTTCTTGGCTTCTGATATTTTGATCTATAGGGCCTTGTTCTGTGTTTTGATCTTCATTATTCGTAGGTTCTTTATCCTGTAAGTACAAATATCATTAATATTTTTATTACAGTAGCTCGTGGTAGAACAAGACTAGCTGGACATAGAAGGTGGCTTCCATCAGCTTTCCCCGCACTGCATAGGTGCGATAGATGGAAAACACGTAGTGATACAGTCTCCAATAAACAGAGGTCCAGAATATTACAAGTACAAATTTCTTTTAGCTTCGTTTTATTAGCCCTGGTAGATAATAATTACTGCTTTATGTATGCCGACGTGGCAACTCAAGGGAGGATAAGTGATGGAGGTTTTTTGAAAAACTCCGTTCTGTGTAATAAAGCGTAGCGTTATGCTTAATTTTGGTTATTTAATGTTATACATGCTTATTATGTTATTAATATACTACCAATAATACATTATTCTTAAAATTGGTTAAATGCTGTTTAAGTTTTCACTTTATCGTTTTTCGTCACGATTTGTTTTTTTTTTGATTTATCATTTTTTTTTTGTTACTTTGTGTTAGTTGCTTTGAAACATACGACATATGTTTTTTTTTACTAATGTAAATCTCTTTCCGACTGCTGGCGGGTTGGGGTTCCGTATATTTATTTTTCATACCTTTTGTTATTTAATAGTTTATTATATATATATTTTTAGTTTATTTTATAATGTCGTTCGATAATAGTGTTGTTAATGATGATTTTGGTGATTTTTTGTCTTTGCCGTCAAGTGATGTTACATCTAGTGAGTTTAGCTTTCACAGTACAATGTCTTCTATTCCGTTAAATGATGCCCTTAATTCGTACTTCTCAGATTCTCTGATGAATTTTAATGTGATTAATTTAAATACACAAAGTGTTCCAGCCCACTATCCTGATATGCTTGCGTCTTTTGAGTCCCGTAACATTCACGCTATTCTTGTTTCCGAATCTTGGTTGAAGCCATGCTTACCATCCACTTCATACTCATTAGCGGGATTTCATCTCATTCACAACGACCGTATTAGTAAGGGTGGTGGAGGGGTGGCGATTTACCTTCGTTCTTACATTCCCTTTACTGTTGTAAGTTTGTCCACTTAGCCTCCTCCTTCTAATGCGGTCGAGCATTTATTTATTGAAGTTACTCTGTCTCATACGAAAATTCTTCTAGGCGTTTGTTACAGTCCGTCTCTCCACATTGATTACTTCTCCTCATTTGAATGTTTATTAGAAAAATTGTCCCCGTCCTATAGTCACACCATAATTATGGGTGATTTTAATACATGTTTACTTAAAAGGGACAATCGGTGTAAGAAGCTACAATCGATTGTACAGGCGTGTAACTTACATATATTACCGCTTTCTGTTACACATAATCTTCCTGATTGTACCCCATCTTTACTTGACTGAATTATTGTTTCCTCGCCTGATTTTGTCCAGAAGCACGGCCAACATGAGGCTGATGTTTTTTCTTACCACGATCTCTTATTTCTTATATACAAAGTTCTTCCTCCTAAAGTAAAATCGAGAATCCTTCTGCAACGTAATTTTAGTGGAATGGACAAAGAACGTCTTATTGAAGATGCTCGCCTTTTGGATTGCACCGCTGTAGAAAATGCAACTACGGTCGATACAAAGGTTGAGTTGTTTAACTCTTTTCTCATACAACTATATGACGTTCATGCACCAGTAAAACCAATAAAGATGATGCACTCACCTGCGCCATGGCTGACCGATGACCTTAAACATCTTATTATCAAAAAAGGCTCGCGAAAAGCAAACTCAAGGCTGAAAGATCTGACAAAAATCTGTGAAACTACAAAAAAGTTAGGAATTGCTGCAATACATTGTGTAGGGATGCACAACGACGCCACATTCATAAATCAGTCGAAAACGGCGACACTGCCAAGGTTTGGAAATTTCTTCAATCACTTGGAGTTGGCAAAGCATCTTCTAGCTCATTTCAGCATAATTTTGATATTGAACTCCTTAACCAACATTTTACTTCTTCTAGTACAATAGACAGCTCAGATAAAGAACGCACTCTGAGTATTCTTTCTTCAACGCCAACTCCTAATTTCCCACCGTTTAAGTTCACACGTTTCACTGACTGTGATGTAAAAAGAACATATTGTCTATCTCGTCTAAAGCCGTGGGTGATGATAGTGTTAGTCGTATCATAATCTTACCAATCCTTGAATTTGTTACTCCCATTCTCACCCATATCCTGAATAAATCTATCTCCACGTCTAAATTCCCCGAAGCTTGGAAAAGCGCACAAGTAATTCCTCTCCCTAAGAAGCCTCACATTTTACCGTTTTTCGCCCAATTTCCATTCTTCCGTTTCTATCTAAAGTCCTAGAGAAACTAGTTTTTCACCAATTATGTCAATATCTAGATAGAAATTCCCTTTTAAATCCTGTTCAATCCGGTTTCCGGTCGGGTTATAGTACGACTACAGCTCTGGTTAAAGTTACTGACGATATTCGACGAGGTATGGATAATAAACA